GTAATCAGTTAATATGGAGTTTGTTGTTGTTTTTTTATCCTCAAAACAACCTGTGGCTTTCTGAAGAGAACATTATAGCGCCTAAACATTCAGAAAAGGAGGAAAAGCTGAAAAACAAATTCCAACAACTAAGAATAAACAGACAAGCAACACAAACCCAACATTCAGTAATTATTTATTGCATATGTTTCGGCTATATGCCTTCATCTGTGCAAAACATGTTATTATTATTATTTTTTTTTTTTAACAACTAAGAATGAAATTTACCCATAAATTTTATAACATTTTCAATTTCAATTAATTTAACATGCACAGTAAATAGCAGAGGCCCTCTTCTCTATTCTTTTAGTCTAATATTTATGATATGATAATGTGCACTGGGCATTTCAGTGGGAACAAGATATGTTTGTAAAACATGTATGCCCCCTATCAGCAGCCAATTAGTCATGTGATAAGGTTATTATGCAGGACTTCTGACCCAGTGATCAAACAATTAATAAGGGTTATCAAGTATCTACTGGTAATGACCTTAACCTTTGACCCAAAACTCAATAGGGGTCATCTGCTGGTCACGACCAATCATCATACAAAGTTTGAAGTTCCTAGACCGAAGCGTTCTTAAGTTATTGATTTGAAACATTTTTACCTACAAGGTCAATGTGACCTTGCCCTTTGACCCCTTAACCCCAATATCAATAGGGGTCATCTGCTGGTCATGACCAATCACCATACCAAGTTTGAAGTTCCTAGGCCTAAGGGTTCTTTAGTTATTGATCGGAAACCATTTTTACCTAAGAGGTCAATGTGACCTTGACCTTTGACCCCAAAATCAATAGGAGTCATCTACTGCTCATGACCAATCACCATATCAAGTTTGAAGTCCCTAGGCCTAAGGGTTCTTTCATTATTGATCGGAAACCGTTTTTACCTACAAGGTCAATGTGACCTTGACCTTTGACCCCTTAACCCCAATATCAATAGGGGTCATCTGCTGGTCATGACCAATCACCATACCAAGTTTGAAGTTCCTAGGCCTAAGGGTTCTTTCGTTATTGATCGGAAATCGTTTTTACCTTCAAGGTCAATGTGACCTTGACCTTTGACCCCTTAACCCCAAAATCAAAAGGGGTCATCTGCTGGTCATGACTAATCACCATACCAAGTTTGAAGTTCCTAGGCCTAAGGGTTCTTTTTTTATTGATCAGAAACCGTTTTTACCCAACAGGTCAATGTGACCTTGACCTTTGACCCCTTGACCCCAAAATCAATAGGGGTCATCTACCGATCATGACCAATCACCATACCAAGTTTAAGTTCCTAGGCCTTAAAGTTCTTTAGTTATTGATCGGAAACCGTCTTTGCTTACAAGGTCAATGTGACCTTGACCTTTGACCCCTTCACCCAATAATCAATAGGGATCATCTTCTGATCATGACCAATCACCATACAAAGTTTGAAGTTCCTAGGCCTTAAGGTTCTTTAGTTATTGATCGGAAACCATTTTTGCTTACAAGTTCAATGTGACCTTGACCTTTGACCCCTTGACCCCAAAATCAATAGGGGTCATCTACTGATCATGACCAATCACCATACCAAGTTTGAAGTTCCTAGGCCTTAAAGTTCTTTAGTTATTGATTGGAAACCGTCTTTGCTTACAAGGTCAATGTGACCTTGACCTTTGACTCCTTCACCCCATAATCAATAGGGATCATCTTCTGATCATGACCAATCACCATACAAAGTTTGAAGTTCCTAGGCCTTAAGGTTCTTTAGTTATTGATCGGAAACCATTTTTGCTTACAAGTTCAATGTGACCTTGACCTTTGACCCCTTGACCCCAAAATCAATAGGGGTCATCTACTGGTCATGACCAATCACCATACCAAGTTTGAAGTTCCGAGGCCTTAAGGTTCTTTAGTTATTGATCGGAAACTGTTTTTGCTTACAAGGTCAATGTGACCTTGACCTTTGACCCCTTGACCCCAAAATCAATAGGGGTCATCAACTGGTCATGACCAATCACCATACCAAGTTTGAAGTTCCCAGGCCTAAGGGTTCTTTAGTTATCACTCGGAAACCATTTGGTCTACGGACCGATGGACCGACAAGTGCAAAGCAATATACCCCCTTTTCTTCGAAATGGGGGCATAAATATAGTACTTTAAGGGAAAATCTTTAGTAATAAACCAGGGACATATCATTTTGTGGTAATTCACCTGTAAACCTTGTAAATTTATGATCTACCACAAACATAATAAATAGCAAATAAAAATATTTTACACTATAAAAGTCTGAAGTTAACAATCATTTCATGGCGAAAATGCTAGAGGCTATGTAACCATCAATGAAACTAAATATTTTGAAAAAAAAAATAACAAGAAAGATCATGTCATCAACCATTATCAATCAATGTAGATATTTATACTTAGTAGTATTGTAACTTTTTCAAAACCACATTTTACCTGTACATTAACCTACATCTTAATTATAATTAATCAAGTAAATAAAATTAATGTTCTTTCAATTAATCTGAGTATCTGTTCTTTTTAAACTGTATTACATAACTTTTCACAACAAGTTTAAACCATGTTATCTTCCCATCTATTTATAGTCTCAAACTTCAAACTGGCAGATAAATATAACACAGAACAATACCTGTATACTGATTTCTGACCTTGTCCATTTATGACCCTCTACCTGATATAATGTATAGATATAAAGGTGATAATGTGGTACTTACATGGGGATTTTTCTAATTATGACCCTTACTCCTGGGAGATAAATAGTGCCTTCAGGACAGGAGGGGATCCATTGCCCATATAAATGGTCCAGGCTGTCTCTCACTGCCTGTAGTGGTGGGGTCCGTAAACTCAGTGTCTAAAAGGGCCGTTTGACCCTTATAAAGCTTAAAACTCGCATATGTACACTGACAGTGGTGGTTAAGTGAAATGTCTTAATACTCTATAATAGTCTTAATTTTCAATTTCAATAATTAATATCGACAAATTAATAGTGTATAGTTTTCCAATGTCAGAGAGTAATGCTTTCATAATTACAATAAAAAGAATCCAGCTGCAAATTTATTTTTTGGAAAGTTGGTGAGGAAAATATACTAAATCTTATCATAAAAATCCCATTTTTATTGCATCATAAGTCCTTCAACTGATAAAATCTCAAATTCCGATCTTTATTATTAAAAGTTATTTGGGGTGTATAATGTCATTATTACAAATCACTACACAAATCTAAGTAAAAAAAACTACTAAATTTATAATCTAAACTTTCCAATCATTTAATGTCATGACATTCATGCATGCCTGTGCATTTGAAAAGTTTGCATACTATTAAATGCTATGTGTAAATTTGATATGTGCACTTACATAATTTATACATAACTATTCATAAATCATATCACAAAGGACCGATATAAGGCTTTATACCAAATCAGAAATAACTTCAGTTATTTCCCAATTTCAAAAAATATTCTTATACATCAACCTGGTCTAATTATTTAGAAAAATTGAACTGTTTTTAACTTGTCTCTATAAAGAAGCAACTGGCAGTGTGATCATACACTTGAATAAAACACAAATGGTCAAATGTATTTAAACATAAGTTTTTTGTACTGACTAGGATTAGCTTGAGAAAAACCCACTTTTGCTAAATTATGGTTAAGAAATTTTTAGCAGAAAATAGCATCAAGGTAAGGTTCTGGTCAAATGTCATGGGTGTAATGATGGACTGGCCTTGTTCTAATTCATAGTTTTTGACCTAAGACAAAGTGAACATTAAACACTTACAAACTTATTCATTATATATTGTAAACTTTTAAAATAAAAAGAGCAAAGTTCTTGACTTAACCACCCTTAATATCTTAAATAGACTTGCTGGTCTTTTAATCTAGACAATACCATTTATTATTTTCAGGTAAAATTTCAAAATATATAGCAAACAGTGCAGACCATTATCAAAGACATGCAGATTTGCCAGCTGATCTTTGTCTGCACTAGTGGCATGGGTGGATTCTGTATGCTTTAACAGTCACATGTTTTTGTTTCAACTCATATGCACTGCACAATCTAATTTCAATTTTACTGCATACTTTAATATTCATTTTATGCATTGTTATTAACTGTTAACTCAAATTTAATGCATCAATAGGTTTTTTTTAAAACACTCGACAAGCATAAAATATTAACAATATCAATCTGCCTCAAGAGAAATGTGTGTATACATTGTTTACAACATGTCAAACATGATCTTGGTTTAAAGCAATCTGTATTATACACATCAGGAATGTGTAAATTATTTGGATACTGTCATTACCTCTCTCCATGCAATGTTCAGCTAGTGATAAAATGCCTTGGCTTGACATTTCAATAAATAAATATTAAATTGTAAGTTAACTATATGTAACTAGCTAGTGGTAGCTGAAGTAATATTTTACTGCTGTTTCAACACTGTGTGGCATCCTTATAAATTTATTTACAACTCTCATATGTGATCATTACACTGCAAAAAGCATATAGAGCTGTATACAGTAATGTTAATTAAGAAGATCAAAGGTTTAAGAAATAGAGTTTTAAATTGCTTTAAAATCTTTCAATTCATTATTGATTGGTACAAGTAAAATGTTAATTGACAAAGAAATGTAGGAAAACTTCCAAAAGTATTTTTCATAAAATAATGTATAAAAAATGTAATTATCTGTATTTTGACAATGTCAATGTTTTATGATGTTATTTAAAAATTAAAAAATAAATTTAGCTTTTAATTCGTTAATAAAATACAAAACCTCGGAATGAAACATGATTTAAGCAAGTCATGCCTCAATGTCAATGCATGGTATGCGAAAGATACACCCCATACAAATATTACACGTAATCGGTCAAGTCACGTTTACAATTTATATTGTAGAAACAGACGCTTGAAAGTCATATCTAAAAATCCAATTTTTGGTGAGAGAAAGATATGACAGTTGATAAAACAGAAACACTCACCCGTCCTTTCCTATCCAATCGTGAAATTTAATCTCCCCAGCAGTTGTCTTTGCTGAAAAGTTAGGAAATTCGTCGCCTAAATTGAATCCCATTTTGCAAAATCTTTACACACGTTCGTTCCGTTAATGGCTGTTCTTCGCTGGGCATGCGCAACTTTACAAACGGCGTTTTGGGCGCTAGTTTTATACAAGGGAGATAACCTTTTCGCATATTCTTACGTGCTAATTAAATACTTATCAAAATACTCAAAAAACACATTTGTCTGTCCTTCTTTAACCCATTACTGCATGAACATTTCGTGAAAAATGGTGAAAAGTCTCCCGTTACAAGTTCAAATTGCTATAAAACTATATACTCAACATCACTAATTCCGCGTCATCACTTATCTCACGGTAATGGCATATTTTCATGTGACCAGTGTTAAAATTGGTCAGAATTGACATATTTTATTCAAACACCTTAACAGCAAATTTTTTGTGCAAAATAATTTATAATCTATAGATTTTTATGTAAAACTGAACAACATTTTACAAACTTCTGCAAAAAACAACAATAGTCCATTAAATTTGTGCATACGTCTGAAACAATCATCATTTTCTAAATGTTCTTGTTTGTTGAAAGAAAAATTTTGAGGTACAATGTAAAGATACTTTTAATATTTAAAATTATGCAAAATAACATAAAGAAATTTTAACTGAAACATGAAAAAACTGAAATAAAACACCATTACCGCGAGTTAAATGATGACATACTGTTTTCAAAATGGCCGACACACGGTCTACATCTGACAAATTAAAACTTATTTTGATTGAATATATTGTTGTTTCCTTGTGTCATATAGCAGAAAAATGACTAAAAGATACAGTTTATGAAAGTTTTTGTAGTGTAAGTTTATTGTTTGTCTTCTTTACTGTTTTAAAGTGTTAAGTACCGTGAACTAAGAGGAGCACAGTATACGACCCAGGAAAAAGGTAATCAAATAAATAAAAATTAGGGGGGGGGGGGGTAAATTAAAGGGGAAGATACTTACCGTAGACGAGAAAACAACAAGGGACACAAGAAAATGTGTCACCAAAACAGGATATACCTGGCCTTGGAACGGTCAGCAGCATACTAATGACTGCTGGGGAGTTTACACCACGCCCGTTTAACTCACAACGAGTGAAAAATGTCCATCGGTAAAAATTTTATGAGCAACTTCCGTTCCTCGTTGTGAGCACCCATCTTTGACGTGAGACTCGATTAAGATGGTGAGTTTTTCATAATGTTTGAAGATTACAGACATTTATGTAAAACTATCGAAATGCAGTTAGCTAGCGATGTGTTTTCCGAGTATGCACATGTAAAGATATTAATTGCCTGTTGGTGGACAATTTGATGGAAATACCGTGCGACGCAGTCACTCGGGGTAGCTGGAAAACTGAAGACAACTTCTCTTTGGACCTAATTTAACATTGAAATCGTCGAATCTGGTGACGTTTTGTGCATTCTAACCTAAAACAGATGCCCAAAAGTCTTCAGCGTAAAATATTATCTGAAATTCTTCATAGAAACGAAGATATATACCCTTTTTTGCTTTAATCCTCGTTGTGAGTACCATAACCTCGTTGTGAGCAAGACAAGCGCAGTGCTTGTCTGGTTTTAATATGTAATATTGCCTTTGTAACAACTGGTGAACATGCTCAGTCTTACAATTCCTGTTACCATGTCAACGAGGGGACATCTCAAAATTGCAAAAAATTACAGATTTGTTGATTTAAAAGGGTTGCAACTTCTCAATGGATGGAATAGAGTCAAAGGCTTTTCAGCGTTGGTAACACGTTACCATACGAAGGCTTTTAGCGTTGGTTACACGTTACCATATATAATCGACCTGCATGGGGTCATTTTTAGTCTCTCACAAGCCCCAAATTTTCTTGGCGATCAACCCCCCCCCCAAACAAAAAGGGCACACCCTCCTTCTGGCAGCCCCCGGATACATGTATTTTTTGAAAAGAGGGCAGCACCGAAAAAGTGGTCACTTTTTAAACAACATTTGTCAGACAAAAACAAGTGTTGGGGGCCTAAATAAGGCATTTTTTCACCATTTGAGAGAGACAAACAAAGGGCGGGGGTGAAAAAGGGGGGGGGGGGTGTGAAAAAGGCGTGAAAAGGCGTGTATATTTCGTAATGGGTTAAGTGATTTATATGTGCCCATTCAATTTAAATAATGTAATTCTGGATTTTTTTTCGAAATAATGTTTATATTTCATATAGATGTAGAATTATAGATCTAGTAGATCTACTTAATAAAGTGCTATGTCCCTCCTGGCAGGTCTCTCGTAAGGGGTATAACACAATTTACGCTAACTTCACACACACTATACTATACCAATGTTTTATACTGTTCCTGTGCCTAATAGATTTGTCTACATGTATCAGAATATTTCCTCACAAGCATTTGCCTTTTGTTCAATAAAAGTATTCATTCATTCATTCAGTCTGAAAATCATACACATTTTCCTTTCTCGCAACACAGGATATTTTCTCTTGATTCAACCATTTCCGTTACGATGTACATTTTAATAAAAAATAATCACAGGCCTCGATAATGCATTTGTTAAGACTTTTTTCTGTATTTGTTTCCGAAGATGAATCATATACTACCCGCAATGTGGATGTGGACTTTTGTGGTGTCAATACGGCATGAGGTGCTGAATAATAAACTCTCCAATGTTTAACATCTTCGCCAATCTTTTCGATAATACCCTTTTCAAACTGATGTTTAATAACGACATTGTATGAAATTTTAGAAATTCCGATTTGTTTATCAGTCTTAATAGTATTGACTATCATCGCCCAAGTGCAATAGAAGAATACAGAATCCCTAAAGAAAGCCCAACACGACAAAATTGTAAATGTTGCAGGCTCGGTTTAATTGAGCCTGTTCATGGACGGCAATGGAAGGTGTAAGTTACCGTCCACGCCCCCTAGCACCGGCTTAAGCAGAATTCAACATTTAACACGAAAATGGTGAAATTTTGAATTAAGAAACATCCGCAGATGTGTTCATACGGAGTTTATCATTGAACCTTCAATGTGACACAGAATTACCATTCCATGAAAAGCGGCGTATGGTCCCCTGTTTTCTGGTCAGTGAAAATGTTCTTCAAGCCAAGGCCATTTCACTTCATATCGTCCATTTTCAAATTTAACCGTGCTTTTGAATAGCTGTACTGCAATATCATCATTTGATTGATTAAAATTATCAATAATTCCTTGTCCCAAAATCTTCCAAGTCTGGTTTAGTGGGAATGCACTTGTCAATATTAGACATTACGCCTTGATTTGTCAATAATTTCGATACGACATCATGCAAACATATTCAATGATTCATGTCCTTTCCGTGTATCATTAATTAGTTCTACCTGTAAGAAGCCATCCTAGCTTTGAACTTTTGTTATTTTGGGGCAACACTTTCTCAAGATAATAACCATTACCGATATGAAGATCTATGCTAGAGTTTCATTTCACTAATGTCTCTTAACGTTTCGGAAGTGAAACTGAATTTCTCTATGTTGATCCACTTATTGTAGGCACAATGTTTGCTGTAATTTCAAACAATTCTCCATTTACTTATTTAATACTTAATTGCACAGACTTGTTTCATACGTTTAGTTTTATTATTACCAAACATTACAAGTTTTAGTTCTTGTTCGGAGTTTGATTTATGAGCTTATTCACTGGTTTTTTTAATCGTGATAAAGGTTTTCTGTGACCTAGAATTGCGTAACAATCTTGCTTATTCTCTTACAGTGCTATTAGTATTGTTAATTTCTGTTGTAGCAGTCTGCATTAACAGCATTTCGTCAGACGATATATACACTTATTCTTGTAATAGTCGTCGTTTGCCTCACTTATTTTTTTCCGAGAGATGTGCACTTGAAAACGTTTTTGGAAACCTTTTGGGACACAGACTTATTTTAAACATATTTATTTCAATATTTTACATGTATCATATTTTACATGTACATGTATATATTTGGTACATAAAATTGAAAGACACAGACTTCGGCGGTGTTGATTTGCACGAAAATCCCGTGCAACATTCCCAGTACAACATTCTCAGTAAGCTAGTTATAGTCGACACGGGAGATTTAAAATTGACAGCTAAAATAGATTAAATATTAGCAATGTCACGAGGACGAGGTGTAACACCGAGTCCAATCGTTCACTATGTTTCCCAGGCGGAGCACGCATGAAGAGATCAATTTTACAGGTGGAAAACACATACTATGGTAAGAAAATTGTCTTCAATTTCTTTGAAAATGCATATTTCACAAAACGTTATAGCCTATTCTGATCTCGTATGATAACTTTATCCGCCAGGCATCTCAAACTCGCCAAATCTTTGTTAACTTATTAGATCATTATCGACAACTGCACAAGAAAAGTCACAAAATTGGTAAGATCGCTCTTTGATAGCCAATAACTAAACATCCAAGCAAACTTCTAAACATTTGTATCGCTCTAAAGGTTCTTTATTAACATATCCTCATCCAGCAAAAGCCTGTTCTATTTATATTCCGTATTTTCGGAAATGAATGACTTGTATTTAAACATTTTTTATGTACTATTATATTTATTTAACATCTTAAGAGTTGTGTTTACACTACCAGGTGAATATACATGACAATTGTTAACAAATAAATTTACCTTAATATCTGTCAGACCTATGCCTTAGAAAAGAGATGGGCATTCAATGGCATGTGTAAATATCTGGTAAAACGTCATTTATTGACTTGTAACAACTGTGGAACACCAGCGAGAAGTTTTCGTTTTTCCCTTAAATTTATCACTATCAGCGGAAGCTTGATTAATGAGCAAATGAATCATATAATTAACCTAAAGGTGTTATTTAATACCAAAAACAAATGTTATTTATCAAATTGGACTTTATATGGATTGCTCTGAATACGTAACTGGCTACAGAAAATATCTTTAGACAGAGATTATTTGAAAAATAGCGCCGTCAAAACATGTAAACAATACGTACGCCATTGAAGGTCAAACAAGTTCAACTTGGTTTTGCATCGTAATTACGTAGAAACAAGAGCAAGAATTTGATGAAACAGTATAAATACCTTATTCCATAACTTTTGAGCCCAGTTTTACAATGA